TAGTCCCTCCTTATCCACAGAGGATACGTTCCAAGATTCCCAGTGGATGCCTGAAATCATGGATAGTACCGAACCCTACGTATACTATTTTTTTTTGTATATACATACCTATGATAAAGTTTAATTTATAAAATAAGCACAGTAAGAGATTAACAACAATAGCTAAAAATAAAGTAGAACAATTATAACAATATTCTGCAATAAAAGTTATATGAATGTGGTTTCCCTCTTTTTTCAAAATACTGTAATATTTTCACACCGTGGGTAGCTGAAACAGCATGTATTAGTCCATTTCTGTTGCTTATAACAAGAAAAATGAAATTTATTGCTTTTTAGTTTCAGAGGCTGGGAAGTCCAAAGTCCAGGGAGCACATCTGGTCAAGGCTTTCTTTGGTGGTGACTTCAGTGAAGGTGGGGTATCATGTTGTGAATGGTGGAGCAGAGAGCATAGAGACTAACCTCCTCGTTCACTCCCTCTTTAAAGCCTTCGGAACCATGCCCATGACCACCATGTTTAATCCATTCATTATGGCATAGTCCTACAATTTAATCACCTCTTCAAGACCCCACCTTTCAATTACCAAAATGGGATTTCCCACCCTCTTAACCTTGTCACAGTGAGGGTCAAGTTTTGGGGAAACACTCAATCCAAGGTACCGTGGAAAGCAAAACCACAGATAAGGGAGGACTGCTATACTAAGTCAGCCATTTTTGTTTCTAAGCCTTTGTTCTCTTAGATTTCTGGTTCCTTTGGAAGTCTTACTCATCTTTTTTTTGAGACTGTCTCCTCCTTTGGCTTCCATTTATTGTGTGTTCTTGGTTCTCTGCCTCCTGCTTAGAGCACTCTAACAGTTTTGACTTCCCCAAGAAAGAACCACAGTAATTCTGGCTTCTTTTGGTCTGTATGAGAATGGCATTTCTTAGGATGTTTTTTCACGGACTGTGGGTCATTATGTTGGCAGTTTATCTGCAGCTTGAAGATTGTGGTTTTAATGGCAAACTCTCAACCAATTGATGTAAATTCTCTGTTATCTTAGTTTCTTTATGCTTGCCTGGTAGGAACAAAATAAATGTTTGTTGGAATCGTTCATTCACCCAATTATTAATTTATATGTTCGTTCAATATTTACTAAATGTCTAGTCAGTGAATTGAGTTGTTTGTTAAGTTTAACAGTAGGTTAGTTTTTTTTCAAATTATCTAAATATGGTTTTCTTTGTCTTTTTGTTTCAACCTTTGTTCAAGTCTGTTTATTTATTTATTTATTTTCCAATTTGGGCAATTACTAGTTATATGACTCTATGGCTCTTAGATCTAAGTTACTTAACCTTTTCAAATTGGTTTCCTAATTTTTAAAATAGGGATAATAATGATGGCTATCTTCTGGGTTGTTGTAAGGATTAGATGAAAAAAAAAAATACACACAGCACATGCTTAGCCTATAGTTATGGATCTATAATAACAGATAGTAGTGATCACTATTATTCTTACTAGAATGTGTCAGACAGTGTGCTTTGGTCCTCATAGCAAATGTCCTGAATTAGGCATTATTTTTTCCAATTTTCATAGGGAGAAATGGAGACTCAGGGGATTTAAATAACTTGCCAGAGGACACACAGCTAATAAACTGCAAATATGGGATTTCCAATTCCATAGTTTGTGTCCTTCCGTTACACCAAAAAGCCTTTCAGCATCTTGTATGATGTTTAGAAGTGAACTAGGAGTCACTTCATAGTGACTGAAATTAGCTAATATTGTTCTCATTTGCCTTTTGAGAGCTAGGACATACCAAGGAAGTTCTGCCCTGTTGGGAAAATTCCAGTCCTGAAGGTCAGATTAATAAGGATTTTATTTTAAAATCATAAATTCTAGGGTTTATAAGGATTTTACATTTTACATTTTGCTTCCTAAATTACTGAATTCACTCTGTAATGATCTAGCCAAGGGGCCATCTGGTTTATTTTTTAATACTTCCAAAGACAGGGAAGTCATCGTTCCCCTCTCCCACCTACTCCCAAGGCAGGTCATTCTACTTTCCTTAGCTCTAACCATGAGATAGCCCTTCCTTATATCCAGTTAAACTTCTTTCCTATGTCTGCCTTCTGCACGTTGGTCCCAGTTTGGCCATGATGGCTACATGAAGTCAGTGGAACCCTGTTTCCTCAGGCAACCTTTCAGATTTTTACTCTATCTTAACCCCCAAACACCTTCTCTTCACCAGGTTAAGCAGCTTCAAGCCTTTAATTCATAGCTTCTCCAGAATACACAACTGGATTTACTTTCTTTTTTTCTTCTTGGTGTGATATAGAAGAAGCATGGCCATCTCATGAGCATGTTGCTTCCCCTCCAGTCTTTCTCTTCATTCATGGTACCAACATCTACCCAGTTGTTCAAGCTAGAAATCTAGGAGTCTGTTCCCCTCACCATTCACATATAATCTATCAGCACATCTTTTCAGTCCTATTCCTAAATATAAAATCCATCTTCATTGACATCACCCTGGTCTAAGCCACCATCATCTCTCCCCTGATTCCTAACTCTTGCACCCTCCCCAAATCCCTCTTCCACACAGCAGCCAGAATTATCTCTTGAAAACACAAATCAGATCATACCATTTCCCTGACTAAATCCCTTCTTTGATTTCCCATTGCCCTTAGAACAAAATCCAAACTCTTTTTTGTGGTCAACAAAACCTGCCTCATCTCAACCATTCTGTCTTCCCTGTTACTCATTCAGCCTTGGTCCCTGGTCTCTGTTATGTTCCTCGGACATGCCATGCCTTTCCCTGCAGCTGGCCCTGGTGCTCCATGTGTCTACTGCCTGCACTCCTCTCTTCCTAGCTTTGCAAATGTCTGGTTCCTTCTCATATGTCAGGTCTCAGCTCAAATCCTACTTTCTCAGAGCAGCCTGCCCTGATCACTTATCTAAGGCCCCAATTTCATCATCCTGTAACTCTCAGATCGGCATTGTCATCTCTCCTCATGAGAA